TATATATATATATATATATATATATATATATATATATAATCGTAAACCTTTTATTATTAATCAGGTTTTATTTCTGTTTCCTGATTTTTGTTGGTATTGTATCAAAATATGTTCCGTTTTGAATGAAAAAGATTATTTTTAAAAATCATATATAATAGATATTCCCTTTTTTCTAATTTTTTTTTTTCAACACTTAGGAAACTTATTGTTATTTGCTATAGGTGTCAACATTCATGACTGAAGATCAAATACTCTCTTTCTGGGTTGAGGACAGAGCTAGAGAGAGAGAGAAAGTGTTTCCTTCTAGCTGCACTTTACATGCATCATCTTCACCTATAAATGGATTTGCAGTGATTCCATAAAATGCAGACCAGAGTCTGACATGACAGAGTTGTGCTGTTTTAAGAGTTGTTTCACATTGAATTCAACAGTTTGGTCTTCCATTCAAGAAACTGGTTAAAGTTAGTAAAGTCTTTTGTAAAAAAAAAAAAAAAAAAACGAAATTTGCATTTAAAAGAATAACCTATCAGTAAGATAACTAATCATCTATCCTCCCATTTCTATACAGGCACCAACACCTTCACATTATGTCTAGTGCCAAGCTCTGATGGTCAAAGGGGAAAGAAATCATTTTGCATTAGATAGGTCTTACCTCATTACAAAAGATATACAACAAATAGCCATGTATGAGCATACTTATAACTTTGAGAGTTATCAACTATATTTGCCTATGTGTGAATTACAGAACGATTCATTACACTCAAAAATAATCCAGGAACTGCATCAAGAACTATGTTAACAGAAATGGATAACAATAGGGCTGAAATGATTAATCAGAGTAATAGTGATTCATCGATTATTCAAATAATTATAAACTCAATTAGGAATCTTTTAATTATTAATTGAAGTATAGAGACTCTACAACCCACTCAGATTAGCAATTATCCAAAATAGTAGAAACTATTTATAAATACTGCTTTTAAGGTAAGAAACCCTTTATGTCCATAAATATGTTCTTTTCAGAGCTCCTCAGGGGGGTTAGTTTTAGCTTCACCTCATTTAAATTCTGTATAAAATCTTCTTTGAGGGACTTTTTGATAGCCAAAAAAAATAATTGACAAATTCATTGATTAGCAAAATAGTTATTAGTTACCGCTCCATTTAAAATAACTGTCCAAGGGATAACCATGAAAATATGAATAAACTACTGATAGATACAAACTACAAGATAGCAGCAAATACACAAGATAGACAATACAATATAGAACTCCGAAAATACTTACAATACTAACCTCAAAGAACAAAATGCTCTGACATTACGATGATACTTCTAGATTATAGTAACATTTTTATTTATCCAGTGCAATAGGCTTATAATACATCTGTAGTATAATCCAGCATAGTGGTCTTTTTCAAGTGGAAAGGCCCAACTTCCTTTCTTTTAAAGTATGAGCCTTAAATTGGAAACTTGGAAATCAAGTCCAGTGGATTGTTTTTTTTTTTACTTTTTTGGAATGACTATGACCTGGATGACTGAGAATCTTCACCAGCATAAATGGGAGCCTGTGACTATTTAAAGAAGTACAAATGATCAAATCCTGCTTCCTTCTCTGCAACATGTTTATGTGCCTTTAGACAAGACAACCACCCCGACCTGCCAGCTTAACTGTGTCTGGCTGGTTGAATGTTGCTTTATTTTGAAACCGCTTGGTCAACATCCCTAGAAAAAAAAACTGCTGTATAACTTTAGCATATCTACCATTAAAATCTTTGGGATTTGTGGAACACAGTGGGAGAACTGGCTTGCTCATTGTCAAACCCCAACACACTCACTTAAAGTGACCCTTTAAACTAAACTAAACAAAGAAACTTGAACTTGTTCAGCAATTATTTCCTTTTCATCCCGGCACTTATAAAGCTTTCAAAGTTTGCTAGAGCTCTCAAAGGCTTTTCTAAGGCTGGGGTGCATCAAATAGTAGCTTTTTAACCATAATTGCTCCAAAATGTTTAACAGTGATTGCTAAAGCCCAGCTCCCCTTCCTTTGCATTAAATCTGAACGCAATCAGATATAATCCATTCAAACCAACAGCTTTATGTTGTAGAATCAATACACCCACTCTCTTGTTTACAATTACACTAAGTGCTAAAATAAATAAAATCCTAAAATGCTGATATTTCTTTCTTTTTTTCATAAAAGTTATAAAGGATTTGTCTTTTCTGTTACACTATTGTAATTTGTATGCCATCTATCTCAAGCTTTTTATTTTACATTTAAAAGGAATCTAGCAATGCTCCGTTTAATTGCAAAAAATGACGACAGAGAACTTAAGTTAAAGATGCCAGACACTAGAGAAGAAAGATACATGATCCTCAAGTTTTTGGCAATCTTTTCAAAAGTTTGTATAATCCACCTTTAAATCTAAAATTTATGAATATATTCAAATTACTCTCAAAGGTCCCATTGTCGATAAATTACTTTTTCCTGCATTTGATTTAGTGTTAGTTTAAATATGCCTGTTTTTAAAAAAAAGTTGTTAGTAAACGTTGCTGCAAACTACTCCAAGAAAACGTTTTCTAATGCTTTGATTGTTAGTTTCAAATATATTAATTAATGAAAAAATTATTAAAGGGTTAAACTAATCCACTCTTCGTTTAAATAGTGACTGCAGATTTGAAAGAAATCAAATACCACTTTAGTTTTCCATTTCACTTCCAAAAATAGGACAAATCTCTATCTTTTCAATAATGCAAGCTGTCTCTGGTTCAGCTCCATACATGTGACCCTGATTCACCAGTAGTAGAAGATGATTGGATAGATCATTCTTTGGTCAGGATTGGATATACCTAGTAAGTAAACACATATTTCTTTCCTGTGTGACAGGTAATATTGATGATCCTATCACAACTGGACTGCTTTAAATCGAAGACGCACTGATGAGGCTCCTTTAGACCAATATCAATTTACAGTGTATTAGGTCTTTACTGTAGCCTGTGAATGAAGTAAGCCTTTTTTTTTTATCAACATTACAATGTAGCAATCATTGACCCTAGAAAAGTGCTGCATGTTTCCTATTACAGTTGGTGTGACAATTTTGATTCAACAGCAAGAATAACCCACTTGTGGACCAAAACATTGGTTCCTAGCCTATAGTACACATGATTCTACCTAGACTCAAAACAAATTGCAGGAAATAATTCAGTTAACACACTGAATGTCGGGGTTAGTCGACTTGTTAAGGACCCAAATGTAGAGATGGAAGGGAGAGATGAATTCTTGCAGATTTCATGAAGAGGTAGATGGTAACAGAAGCATAAATCAAGAAAACACAGGCAAAAAACTCAGGAACCAAAACTAAGAGACACTCATGAGAACCATGCATAAAGAATGAAGAGGATCCAGCAATGATGAACTGCAGAGGAGACAGAAAAAAGAATGGAGTAATCAGTTAACTGAGAGCAGGTGTGGACATCAGCAACTAGCAGAGGGCTAAGGGGAAAGAAGAGGGGCACTAGGTGCAACAAAGTGTAACCAGAGAAATACAATAGGACTGGGAAGAAATAATATGACACAACAGGGAAAATAAACTAATGAATAAGAAACACACAACGAGCAAAAGGGAAAAGCCAAAGTGAAAACTAGGACAGAACCAAAAACCCAGAGCAGCAGATCATGACATGTTAGATTTC